GTTTAAGTAAACTTAAAGCCACTATCTTTTCCTCTGCTGGTTGTTCTACAGAACTTCTTCTTTCTCTTAATTCTTTTACAGCTTTTCTTGTTGCCATAGTCTTTCTATTAGTATCCTCTATGCACACAACTGAAACAGAGAGCAGAATACCATTAATTATAGGAGTAAGTAAATTGACAGTTCACACCCTCTAGTGTCCTTCAGGCTAAACTGCAGGCTTAATTCAAAGTAATCACACAGGCATCCTTACAGCCTTCTTGTATTTTAAAAAGTCCACCAGTCAGCAGGCAGTTTAACTAAACAAAAAACTTTCCCATGAAGAAGACAAGCCAAAATACTGCAAATGGAGTTTCATAAAAAATTAAACTTTTAGCAGATAAATTCTTTATTTTCTTCTATTTATAGATTTAAAAGTCTCTTTTAAACTCCACTTTTTTCCCCAGCTTTTAGTGATTTAATCAAGTTCACTTTAAACTCCATTTATCAGTGTAATCTCAGAAATAAGGATAAACACTAAGAGGAAGGTCTCTCTTAAATGAAGGTCTCTCTTAAGCTGAAAAAGTAATTATAATCCAAAGCATTTAAGAAATGGAGTTTGGTCAACTTGAGTATCCATAGAGAAGGCTACACTGCAATGGTAAACAAGATGATTCCACCACCTCCCAGCTGCTCCACTTGAAAGCCATTTGCAGAGGCTTAATTCTCTGCGATTAGCTCTTGAGGAATGGCTGCCCGGGGAGAATGGGGTAATTTCCTCGCTTCTTCCTTGATCCAGAGCAAGTTGGACAGCCTGCGCTTGCTGCCAGCTGCCAATTCAGCTGTGGTGCTTTCTCTCCCTGCTGCGGAGAGAATGTTAAGCTGCCATAACACCACTGGAAGTCCTAGCTTCTGAATAATTATTCCAATGATTTAGAGATAGCTATCTGCTCTTCCTGTTATATTAGGGAATCTGAAGGATAGTCGACAAATATAGGTAGATACATATGAATTCCATAATTCCATAAATTATAACTGCAGGATTTTAGGGGAAATTCATAACAATGAATAGGGGAAAGAATCATACAGGTGCAACCTACTAAATCTGGAACTCAATAGTGAAAATGCAAAACACATGCTTTCAGTATTGTGTTTCAAGCAGCAGGCATAGAAAACAACATCAAAAATAGCTGTTTCAAATGTTCCATTTGAACATGTGTTTTCTAAGTTTTATTCTGAGGTTAGAACAAGGTTTTGGCTGTTGAGTTTTATTCCTATCACTTTTTCATTTTGAAATATCTTCCCATTTTGTACACATGCATGGAACTATCACTAATTTCCTAATCAATTTTGTGCATGAGAACTATTCTATTTTTAGATCGTATGATGTTATCTTTGGGCTGAAAGGAACCATCAGACTTTTCTGCCTACAAGTCTGAAGAAGATTATTAGTTCAGAGCTCCATATTCACCAAAAAAAAAAAAAAAAAAGTTTAAA